GATTTGTTCTTACAGGATGTTCTATTGGCTAAAATCAAATTTATGTTAAAATTTAAATTTAATATCACTTATTTAAATCGGTCATAAATTTTAAATGTATTAAATGTGTAAAACATCAATTGGACATCAATTGAAACAAAAAACATTGCTTTTATTTAAAGGTATAAATTTATACTGGTATAAGAAAAATCTAATATGGTAATTTATTAAATTATTCTATAAAATAATAATCTATTACAATACAACTCACTGGATAATATAACCTATTATTCAATTATCTTATATAAATATGAACGTATAATATAATTTTAACAAAAAATACTCACTCGTTTACGGAAKCCAAATAATGCACCAACAAATGTGAGTGGTACAGATACACAAAACCATAATACTAACAAAACAAATAATGTAGAAAATGGTATAGCAGCAGAACTTTCTTTGGCCCAAAGAACCAAATTCATTATGAAAAACAAACAGAAGACCACTCTATGAAAAAAAATATATGATAATATTATGATATTAGATAACATTTACATACAAATTATGTATGAACACAGTAAATTTCAGTTATTAATTATTAACTACTCAAGCCCACAAACTGTAGACAAGATAACAAGTTTTGCAAACTTTAACATTTTTCTTTCAATTGTTAACAGAAAAATGTTAATTATACTGAAATACTGTGTACTAATGTAATGTGAGAATGTGACCATATATAATAATTAGCAAAGGTACCAGTATCAGTATGAAATATAATTCAAGCTAGAAGCCCAGAATTATAAGGTTAGTAATCTTAAAAAAAGTACTCATTAAAATAGGTGTAACACAAATTTAACATGATACTAAACATAAAATTATAGTATCAAATAATTTGAATGCTAAACATAGATTCTTATTTCTTAGTTACACAATTTATTTTAACTTGTTTCCAATAGACATTCAAATTCTGGCTATTACTGTATTATTTTTTAACTTACCCAGGGCAAAACATTGAAGTCAATATTATATTTGTCTTCCACTTCTCACCACCAAAACTCTTATAAATTCTTGATGATACATAACCAGCCGGTGTCCCAAGGCATACAAATAATATTAGAGAACAAGTCATAAGTGAACCTCGATTGGCTGGTGATAGAAAACCCAAACATGCAAATGCTGAAACACRGCCATAATAATACAGTTATAAAAGAAAAAACAAAAATTACATTTTAAATTTCAAATTACCGAGTGTTACAACAGTCATACACAAAACTTGTACTCCAGAGCCAACAAAAACTGCAAGCAACATTCCTCTTCTTGGAGGACGAAAGACATCTCCATGAACTAGTTTCCAACCAAATTCTTCCTTAATGTCATCACCAGCATCAATCTAAAGAAATTCAGAAACATTTAATTCAAATTAAATTATGTATAATTTGACTGCAAAGACAAATTAAGATCCTAGAAATATCCAGTAATGTTAGACAAGTATTTTAAATTACCAAATTTGACTTTACCTGATTATATCTTGCAATATCTTTATGCAATGTACGCAATATAATCATTGCTACCATCCCAGATAAGAAAATTACTATCATTAAAGAATTTAAAATGCTGAACCATTGAATATTGGTAGGTGGAACAGAATCCAAAATATAATCCCAACGTGAAGACCATTTTACGGTGTTGTTCATCTATAATTTAATAAAATTTATAATGTACCTTAAAATAATAAAACATAGAATAATTTAACAAAATTTGTTATTTTGACTAAAATATTAATTTAAAAAAATTAAGCAATCAATTTGAATAATTATGTACATAATTAACACTTATTTTACCTCAAATTGAATAGAGTAGGAATATGTTATATTCAATGGAGTATTTATTTTATCAGCCGGGATCTCCATAAATCCTGTGTTACAATTAGTGACTGGAAACTTATGTTGTATACTTTTTGGCCTCACTTTAACAGCTTTAAAACATTAATAAATGCTAATAAATATATTAATACAAAAATTCAAGATACTCCAATCAAAAGGATTATTTAAGCCATAAAATAACTTCTATGTGAAAATATTTTTTAATTTTATTTTACAACGCATATTATATTTAAAAAAATAATATATGGATAATTGGGTAAAAAGATATTTATTAATAATATAAATAAAATCATTGAATAAATATGTAAAMAATTTAATAATTTTTAGCATACCTATGATTCTGCCACCCTCCGAACTGAAAGATGATCCCCATTCTTCATGCTTTCCACTGTGGTAAGTAATAGTAAATTCTAAATGATTAAAAATATAATAAGTATTTGGCTTCAATGCTTGTGGAACAACCTGAAACAATGAACAATTTTCTTAATAGTATACAATAACATATTTAACCAAACTCTATTAAATAATTATGAAACTAAGAAACTATTTGTTATTTACTTTGAAAATGTTTATTAATAATAATTATTTGGCATATAATTAGTCTTACTCTCAGAATAGTCGCGCACAAATTATTATCATGGTTGGCTGGCTTATAACAACCCATTGGAAATCCTGTACTACAATATTGCTGGCCATCTTCTAAATCATAGCACCAAGTGACTGGCATATTATCTGAAATGTTAATAAAAACAATTTAAAATAAAATAATATTAATTATTTCATAAAACAAAATAATTATTTTAGTTTATTTTTGTATACATTTTAATATCTTAGAATAGTTAGATAAATTAATGATTTGATATTTTGGTAGGTAAATAAAAAAACATTGATTATAACATTTTACATTTTGTATCAMAAGTAAAATTACACTTACCAACGATAAAATGATGCTGGTAATTTAAGCTCATTCCTCGCTTTAGTACAAAGAGTTTCATATTGCTAATTGAGTCTTTAGGGATATAACGTTTAGTACAAAGTACTTTACAATCCTCATTATTCAAAAATGATACCTGTAGATAAATTAACATAATAAGTAGTAGTCAAATTTTTTAAATATTGTTAATAAAATAATGAATTTTTATTWAAAAAAATTAATTTTTTGTCTTTAATGGGCAGAACTATTGCCCACGTCAATATTGTTGTCTATTGAATAAATTTATAAAGATACAAATATACAAACAACTTTGGTTTAAGACCAATGGTACCAGTAGGCTTTAAAAATTGTATKTAAATATTTTACTAGTCATTTGTAAAACATTTTACATGTTTCAATCAGCATGCAAAACTCTATCATTGATCAACTTTAACACGTTGACTGCCGACGACCCAAGTCATTTCAGAGCTTGGTGGGCCATAATATTTTTACATAATTTTTTGTAAATGTATACGTTTATAAAAATAGCTCTAATTGTCTGATATTGATAAAATKTATACAGTTTTAATAAGTAAACCTTGTATAATAATATAAAGATAAAAAATGTTTTGGGTCGCCGGTGGTCATATTCTAAATCTAAATTTGGCAGGTATTTTTTTTTTTGCTTATCATAATTTTCACTGTTATTGTTTCTGTGACAATATAAATATGGCRTTAAATTTTTTAAAGTGTGTGGAAGTAATGGGTATACATAGAAATTTATAATATACGAAGGGAAACAATCAATAAAAGGAGAATTACTATCTGAAACCTAACCTAACCTAACCAGAAATCACGAAAATATAATGAAACCGGATGTTATACTATTCTACAATGCTTGTAAAGCCAGAATAGACTTATCTGTTATCTGACCAGTTGGTGTCATATTGTACTCCAATGAGAAAAAATATACGTTAGTATCATAAGGT